ATTTTTAATGACTTTCTGCGTGTTTCGCGAAATTGTGGGTTAAAAAATATAAAATGTTAATTATGACCCAATAAAATTAATAACAAATGTGATACAATGCCTGATGATTACCCGACAGCATAATGAAAATCTCTTCCTAGTTTCCCCAAAAAAGTTAGTGCCAACTCATGCGTCACGGCTACGGTATAATTCCTTCCTTTCTCGTCACAACGATCTTTGTGGTTTTAACAAAACAACACCAACAAAACATTTCCAACAATTTCAAAAATTTGCAGATTACTCCTTCACGTTGAGAGGTTTCGTGTCGAGGCTGCGATTGAACTGGAACGATTATTTCGTATGACTATTTCAATTGCAATCGGTATTTCATCACCTTAACGAACACTTGTCATGTCATATTGCAACAGATTAATTCGTCAAACCTTTGGATTCTTTTCCCGAATCGATTACGTTTTCATTTGATGAATGAAAATAGATATAAGAGGAGATACAAAGCTGCTGATGTCCAGTAGATGATAAGAACGCGATAAAACATGTCTCCATTCAATGTTTTAATTATTCTCATTGCGAGTGTCAGTGGACTGCCAACCAGTAATTATCAGCGGAGAGATAATTTTGGATATGAAGTGACAGCTCTAGAGCAATCAGGACTATTAGAGCCATCAGGTGCTGGTAGCTCCCCAGTAAAAACTGGAAAACAGCCGAAAAATTCAGCTGGTGAGACCACAGTCTAGTGCTTTAACAAAACTATCAGAAAACCTCGTCAAGAGTACAGAGTATTATAGAATATTACGAGAATATTACGAGAATATTACGAGAATATTATTCGCCTGCAGTTGACAATTATTTAATTTTTATGATTATTCGGAACAATTGTTGCATCAGGTGAGAGCAAAGAGTCCGGATATTACAAACAATTTGGGACAAATGCAGATGGTGAAAAGGGATTTGAGTCAGGTACATACAGCCATGGCCAGAATGGGTACAAAGAGCTAGATACATTCCACAAACAAATCGGGGACAAGTACGGATTTGAAGAGAATTTGGAATTCGGTCATGGAAAAGGGAATCAAAATTCAGGAAAACACTCTCGCGCTCGCGAGAGCAAGAGTGAAGATGCAGATGAAGCAGGTGATCATTAATATTATATTAAAATTCATAAACCACTTAATTATTATCATAAAATTATCTTCCCTTCATTATTGATCGCTATGAATTCAATTTTCTTAAAATCCATTTGGCATTGGATTTTATCTTTATTAGTACCGATTATTCTATTACTACTATTAATTATTGTCACCGATTCCTATGCGTTATCTACGTTTTCTAATTTTCGGTGAGTTTCCATCGGTTGTTTATTAATTAACTAATCACTGAATGCTTAATTTGTCTATTTATCTTGTAATTAAATGTGAAATCGCAATTTGATGACAGGTACTAGTGTTGAGACGTTTTATGCAGATACCAACGGAAGTGGCGAATATCTAGGAGGTGGTGAGACTTACAGCTCCGGCGGAGATGGTGATAATTATGAATATTCCTCTGGAGACAGCGGGGAAGGCGCATATTCAGAGTCCAGCTCGTACAGTTCAAATGATGGGGATAAATCGGGCAGTGATGAATACTATTACTGATTCTGACGAGAAAATCCATCTCACTTAAGCTTTACATAAGTTAATAATCACCTATGGAATTCCTAAAATGTAAGAATATGTGCAACTAAATATTTATTTAATCAATGAGTTCTTTTCTGAAAATGAAAAACCCTTCCAAAGAAAAAGCGAATATTAAATAATAATTTAAGGGCCGGATGGAGTATCTTGGAAAGATAATTTACTCCAAAATTGGGATTCCTAATTACTCCGCCAATTAATTGTTTTAGCGGTTGTCAACAACTAGGCCGCTAGCTAACAATTATCGGAAAAAACGATTAATTGACGGAGTAATTAGAAGTCCCAATTTTGGAGTAAATTATCTTTTCCAGACAGTCCATCCGGGCCTTAAGGAATAATTCTCCAATTGTTAGCGTCACATTTTATTTAAACTTTCTTTTTTTTTTGAAATTACGATTCACGATAATTCACTTAATTGAATTAATTGAATTAATTTCAATTAATATTTTTAACTCGGTGTTAAATTGCATTAAAATCCCTCCATTTTGAAAAAAAATCTCAAAATGTGCATTAGAAATTATTCCCTCAATTAATACCTCTGACTTTCCACATGTCACTGTGAAAATGAAACGTCCTATTAACAACGAATTAACAAATTAATGAAAACAGAATTATGCACTCAAATTCGAGTTTATCCACTGATACAACAAAAATCGTTCACTTGACACCTGCAGAAACTTCTAACGAAAGAAATTAATAATAAATAATAAATCAGATAATAATATAAATTGAACAAGACATCGTCGACGTAATGGAACCGATGGGAATGACGAAATGAGGCAGAAGGTAGACAAATGGTGATCCAAGAAAACAAAACTAGAAAGTCGCCTTGATCTCCTGAATCACCCGTAACAATTCTCCATGAAATCGAAAAAAAAAAAACAAAAAAAGCCACTCAACCGCAGTAATGAAAGTTCTGAAGGAGTAATCATTATCGGAGATCCGGAAATCCCCGAAATATTTAAGTTGGCAGCACAAGCGATGGTAAATTAGTTGGCACTGGGTTTTCCAGGATGACGGGCATTCAGCGAGCACTTGCCCTGCTCCTCATCATCGGTATTTCCCTGGAGCTATGCCTTGCGCGTCGATTTGAGGAAAAACATTTGATGAGAGACCTGGTGCCAGCAGGATCAGAGCACAAAGTCCATCAGCAGGAGGAAAAGGGTGGAGAGGAGCATCACACGGATCATCACGAGGAGCACGGTGAGAAGGGTGATAAGGGCTATCATAAGCATCATGAGCACGACAAGAAGGAGCACGAGGATCACGCCAAGGAGCACCACGAGGGCCATCACGAGGAGCACGGTGGACACAAGAAGAAACATCACGACGAGCACGAGAAGCATGGAAAGCACCACGAGAGCGAGAAGGGCCACAAGGGTGGCAAATTCGGTGAGAAGAAGGGCCACAAGAAGGGCCACAAGACCAAGGGTTATCACAACAAATTTCACAAGGACGAGTACCACAAGGAGCACAAGTTCTATGATGATTTTCACAAGGGTGGACATCACAGCAAGCATGGCGACTTCAAGGCCCATCATGAGAAGAAGGAAGGAGGACACAAAAAGGGCCACAAGGAGGATCACGCATTTGATCAGCATCATCATGGCAAGAAGGGTCATGAGAGCAAGGGACATCATGATGAGGATCATAAGGCACATCATGGCAAACATGGCCATCACAAGCATCATCATCATCATGAGCATTATGGCAAGAAGGGACATCATCATGATGGCAAGAAGCATGGGTACTCCAAGGGACACAAATGATTCATATTTTTGGAGTATTCTCACTTGACTTGTTTAGAAGAGACTAGAATTTTATACGTCATTCTAGTGGATTTATATTGAACTTTGTACTCGTTCTCGCATCATCCTAATTTTTTATTTTATGTATTTTATGTATTTTATCTATCGAAATCGTTTGGGAAGAATTCTTTTTTTATACAACTTTTTATGCTGCAGTTGTTTTATTTTTAGATGAAATTCCCTCGGCGTAAATTTTCAGAGTTTTTCTTCTGAGTGATTTTTTGGTTCAAAAAATATTTCTGGAGGAAATATATCAATAGGATGAGTTGTATAGAAAAATTGAATAAACACTGATTGAAAGTTCAATAGAAATCCAATGGGAATTCAATAGGATTGTTTACCGAATGCGATATATTTTTCTGTTATTGTTTTTCGTACGATCATTTTTTATCTGCCAATGCAATATTGCTAGATTTTTTAGAATCCTTTCATATTGTAAATAAATAAATTTATACTATTTTCTCTATTCACTACTCTTTCATAACAACGTCGTCACAGATGTTCAACGAATCGTTTTATTCTCCCTAGTTTCACAAATTCTATTCACTATACAAAAGAACCGTTATTGCAATTAAAATTTCCCCAACCAATCAACGGGAGACCATAATTTTTCATCCGAGCAGCAAAAATTTAACAATTTAAAAACAGAAAAAGCATAGAAACATAAAAGCTCCGAATTGTCATCGAATATCTCGGAATTGACGGGCGATACAACAATTTTCGTCAAAATCATTTTTGCAGATCTAATCGCGAGCTAGAGAATGGGTAATAACAAAAATTTTGCTATCTCCCTTGGATTCAGAGATATTCGAGTAGAGAAGAGGAAAGAGACTTGTTTGGTTTTACGGTTTCACAACTAAAGAAAAAAAAAACGATAAAATCAGCTGGTGGTATCAGCAGAGGATTTAATTTAGCCCTTCTTATGGGACCATTTTTTGTGATCCTGGTGGCCGCCCTTCTTGCCATGCTTATGATGATGATGATGATGATCTTCATGGGCCTTCTCGCCCTTGTGCCCCTCATGGCCCTTGTGGTGATGTCCCTTCTTGTGCTCGCCCTTCTTGCCATGATGATGCTCATGCCCTCCATGATGTTTGTGTCCCTTCTTGTGGTGTCCACCCTCCTCGTGATGATGCTCATGATGATCGCCATCATGATGCTCATGACTTCCATGCTCATGATGCTCATCATGAAACTCCTTATCTTTCTTAAACTCATCGAGTTTCTTCACTTCGTGATGTCCATGAGTGCTGTGTCCCTTGCCAAAGTGCCCTTTCTCATGAAACTTGTGTCCCTTTTCCCCGGAGTCACCCTTGTGATGATGCTCGTGATATCCTTCCTCATGATGATGATGCTTCTTGTGTCCCTCGTCCTCATGATAATCTCCATGATGATCATCGTGATCGTGGTGCCCCTTTTTTCCCTCCTCATGCTCGTGATGACCCTTGTACCCCTTGTCCTCCTCCTCCGAGCTGTGATGATGATGATGATGATGCTCCTCGGAACTACCACCCTTCTCGTGGGAGTGGCCCTTATGGTGATGAGTACCAGCAGCTACCAAGTCCCAAATTTCTCCACAAGACACCTCACTCTCTGCTATCACCACCAGGAAGCTCAGTAACACCATCAACGTCCTCTGACGCGGCCCTTTTACGTAAATCATTCTTTTCACCTGTATTTTTTTTTAATTCTCTCAATAAAATCTCCACTCGCTTCATGGAAGCTGATAATGAGACTGTGTTCCTGGTGCTCCACTATTTATACACGGATATTTCATGATGACAGCAGCGGTTGGACTTATCGCAAAAAGCCAATGCGGAACCAAGGGGGAGAGAAAAATTGTGTGGTTGGAGATTGAAATGAATTAGCTTTCTTCATTATCGTTGCGGAGTTGTTACGATAGTCTGAAAAAAACATATCTTGTCTGGTTTTAGCGAGAGAGTGATGAAACGAAGGGTGATCACTCACAATTAATTAGGCACCTAGGCTTTTGCTGGACAATTCAAAATTTCAACAGATCTTGGGATTATCCAAAATTATGATCATGATCATGATATCGTTATTATATTAATTACAAACAAATTTTCTCATTATAAATCACAAAAACTTGAAGAGAGTTGGATAAATAAAAATAGGTTAATAATTCCATTAACTTTTTATTCCACAAAATGTAAAACATCAATTGCGAATTTCTGATAATGACAACTGACGAGATCGATGAGTGGAAATTAATTGGAATTAAACTAATGGCCCTTTTTGAAACTCCAGTGTTTTCCATCTTTGTGGCCGCCCTTCTTCCCGTACTTGGAGTGATGATGATGATGATCCTGATGACCCTTCTCTCCCTTGTGTCCCTCGTGGTCCTTGTGATGGTGTCCCTTCTTGTGATGTCCCTTCTTGCCATGGCGATGCTCGTGGCCTCCCTTCTCCCCATGTCCCTTCTTGAAGTGTCCGCCCTTCTCATACTTGTGCTCATGATGATCACCCCCGTACTTATGCTCATCAGCCGAATCGTGATCCTCATCCCAGAAGTGCTTGTCCTTCTTGAACTCATTCAGCTTGTGAATATTGTGCTTGCCCTTGGTATTGTGTCCCTTTTTCCATTCCTCCTTCTCATGAAATTTGTGTCCTTTCTCGCCCTTCTCACCCTTGTGGTGATGCTCGTTGTAGCCCTCCTCGTGGTGGTGGCCCTTTTTACCACCCTCATCCTCCTCGTAGTGGCCATGATGCTTCTCCTTGTCATGATGTCCCTTCTTACCTTCTTCGTGCTCGTGATGACTCTTGTAGCCTTTATCACCCTTTTCTCCACTCTCCCCGTAGTGATCCTCGTGCTCCTCTTCACTCCCACCTTTCTCGTATTTCTTCTCTGATGCTGCTGGCACCAGGTCCTCATACTCCGATACCTGAAAAACCGTTATCACCAACCGTTATCAATTCTTTATTGTAACCAAAGAGAAATTCTATTAATGTAATTATGAGTAATGTCTTTTCTCATTCGTTTCTCATTAATTTTTCGTTTGTCACATTTTTTTCTTTCTGACAAGGAAATAATTACGGATGAGGAATTCAGGATAAATTTATTATAAAGCAATAATTCATAATAATAATTATTATTACTGATTCTTGATTTTTATTTTATTTGCAATTATTACTTTGAGAAATGAGTAATTGTGAATGAATAAAAAATGAATGTTTTATTGGCTCGATATATTTATTTAATGGTATCAATAACTCAATTGCTTCGATAATTCCTTGAATTAATGAATTTATAAAATTTGTGTAATAGCAAAATTGAGATGTTCAATTAAAAAAATAGAGGAGTAAATTTTTAGTGGAGTGATACCTCGTAGCTTGGACGTGTGAATGCAGAGACTTGGCATGTCAGGTAGACAATGGCGATGAGCCACAGGATTTTCGACCTCATCCTCATGGAATTTCACTCAGCTAGCACTAAGTACTCCGAGAGATATGACTAAATACCTCGATGGACTTCTGTTTTATATTAAACCTCATGAACGCATGGACCACTTACACTTGACTATTGGGAAATTCAATCTCCTTAACCCGCTTCAGTCCAGGTTTCAATGAGTTTCAGAGAAAATATTATGCAACAAACAGCTAATTCTGGTGCTATCTATCCCTGGAGTTCCAATTCTCTGGTTAAATGTAGGACAGAGAGTCCTGAAGAGTCCTGACGAGTCCTGAAGAGTCCTGATTCGCACCACATCAGCAGCCACACCCAGAGGATGATTTCTTGCTCTTCATTGGAGTAGATCTACACAAAACAGATAAAAACACCTCAAGGTTACGTTGCATTATTGGATTCAATCATGCGTATTGATTTTTCATTGTGTTGAAAGCACGTTTTTCTGGGAGATTAGATGGTATGTTTTTTTATTAAAAACCTCACCGGGAGATTGAATTGGCAAAGACGATTGTCATTCACGACTTGTTGCAATTGCTTAAATAACAATTCCAGGAAATCCACTGAAAGGTGATAAAAATAATTGAAAAATCTTGAAAATTCCATGTGGAATGAAAACACAAAAGAATTGTTGCCCAATATTTAACACAAACTTCCAAAAAAAGAAGGAAAACCATAATGTATTTACGTTTTTCAGAATGAGTGAAACATTAAAATGCAATGGAGATTAATAAATGAGTGGAGAAAGTGTCGATGGTTTTTCCGAGGAGTAATTGTTCCATATGTGAGACAAAATGAATAATCTGTCTAGTTTACGAAACACTGAGTCTGCCAGCTCATCGACACGAAACGACATCGATTACGCCAGTTGCTAAACGAATGGTGTTCAACTATAAAAGCATTAGCCAACGATAAAATCGTTCAGTATTCTGAGCGATTACATGACGAGCGATGAGTGGACAAATGGCGCGTCGATTATGCCAGGTTTACCTGGCATTATCAGTGATGCTGATAATAATTGAGGTATCGATGGCCCATTACTACCTAGATATCAGAGATCTCGAATCAGCAGCAACTGGTCATCACGAAGAGCACGGCGGTGGTGAGGATCACCACGAGGATCATCACGGTGAGGGTGGATCAAAGGAGGAGAAGGATTATCACAAGCATCATCATCATAATCACGGTGACAAGGGTCACTACGACGAGGATCATCACGGTGGTCATCACGAGGAGCACGGCCACCACAAGAAGCATCATCACGACGAGCACGACGAGCACGGACATCATCACAAAAAGGGACACGGCCACAAGGGCCACAAGCACGAGGCACACAAGGGCCACAAAAAGGGTGAGAAAACCCATGGATATCACAAGAAAGCGCACAAGGACGAGTACCATAAGGAGCACAAGTTCTACGATGATCATCACAAGGGTGGACATCATGAGAAGCATGGGGATCATCATGAGCATCATGGACACAAGGCTGAGCATCACAAAAAAGGGGGAAAGCATCATGAGGGGCACGAGCATCATCACAAGGGGAAGAAGGGACATCATGATAAGGGGCATCATGATGAGGATCATCATGGACATCATGGCAAACATGGCTATGACAAACATCATCATCATCATGAGCATCATGGCAAGAAGGGACATCATCATGGTGGCAAAAAGCATGGATACGAGCATGGTCATCACTAATTCGTTCTATTTATCTTTCCCTGGAATTTCTATTGTTAAATTGTGACTTTTGTCGATTAAATTTTAATAAATCTCATTACTAAGAGAATTTTGTCTGATTGATTTTTATTTGTATTTCCTGGCGAGGATTTTTAGGATTCCTTTCGGCAAATTATACATTTTGGTTTGGATGATATTGTTTGTTCGAGAAGGGGAGTAATGTTAATCAATTAATGGTGTTGATTCTGAATATTAATGTGAAATATTATATTATTGATATTATTGAGGAAATCATTACTGCGTGGAGGAAAAACTAAATTCTGGGAGAGATAAGGTTTTTTCAATCAACGGATTTTCCTCTGCAATCGATTGAGATCGATGAAATTAATCTGATTTATCCAAGGGACACCGTTACAAATCGAATGTAATGATTTCTGTTGAGGTCGATGCTCTGAAGAGTGAAACTCTCGTGTATATCGGTTTGAAAAACAGCAGATTGTATAATTTCCAACAATTACTAGTTCCACATCAGCTAACACATTCCATTTTCACAAAAAAAAAACATTTAATAAACAAAAACAATTACCGCATCATTTCCCAATTTTAATTCTTACACACAAGCGTAGGAGAAGTATTTATTCTTACAAAAATAATTTGTCATTTGTTGAATCAAATTATTATATTGTTGATATATTATTCGATGATTGATCCCCGATGGTTAAAATGATGAGAAAAAAATTCAGTGAATTCAGTGAAAACGCCAGAAATTCTCGCGATCCGATTGTGCAATATTTTTTTACCAGAACACCTACAAAATCAACCGCAGCATTACAAAACAATAATGTTTAAAAGAGGGCATGCGTGTTTGAGATAAATGAGTATGCAATTGTCATGCTATCCGGTTGATTGATCACAGTTCGAGGTGTCCAGTCTCCATAAAAGACCAAGTTCTCCATAATTTGGCAATAGAATCTCCAAAACAAGCCCTGAGATGTGGCTCCAGCGATTAAACAATCCGTCAGTTCTGTGTTTATTAATATCGATGGGACTAGGTGTGACACTCCAAGATGAGTGGAACCAAAGCCTCGAGGATGATGAGACAGTCGACTTCTTCGATTTTCCCATTTCGAAGCTGCTGAAGCAGTTGAAGGAGATCCCGAGAGAAGATGAAGCTGAGGAAATCCCTGATGCTATCAAGAGACCCACCATCGAGCCAGAAGCTGAAATGCTACCAGCTCATTACACGGGTGTCAAATCTCCAGGTGTTGATCACATGGAGCTTGTGATTACTGATGCAAAAATGGAGAACTCTGATGGAGATGTTCATGTCGTTGCTGTGAAGAATAAGAAGAGTCCCCAGGACAGGAGTAATGGCAAGATCCAGAAGGATTTTAAAGTTGTTAAGGAGAAATCGCCGAGGAAACCACAGGGTGTTGAGCGTTCCAAGCGGAAGAACTTGAAGACTGTGCGAAATTATATTCACCAAGATGTCTTTGAGAAGAGAGGAACCACCGATGAGATCGATCGGGATGAACAGGAAACAAAACCGACTTATGAAGTTTAAACAATTATTCTTTGGATTTTGGAATAAAAAATTTACAGATAAAATTGGTGTAACAAATAAATTATAATTTCATGGTCATTTATTTTCCTTCCTTTCATGAAGTATGAACCAACTCTGAAAGATAATATAATAAATCGAATTAATCATCATCAATCATCAATTAATCATCGATTTCTCGATATTTTTGGATATTTTGAATGTTTTTAATTGCTGTTTCAAATGAAGTGGGTCTTACGAAAGAAACTTAAATACTCCCACTCCACGTGAATCTTCCAGTCGAGGTTGTCATCCCCACCTTTGAAATAGAGATTATTTGTTCCGGTATTATTGCTGTTATTTGTGACGTAGAGGTGACCGAAGAACTTGGAGTAGTAGATTCGTCAACTTCTGTTGTGAGTACATTTGACTAATTTTCGCGTACACTCAAAGAAATTTCCCTCAGATTTTTTCAAAAAATTCTGTACACTCGTAAAGTGGGGGACAAGAGTTTTTATCGAGTGTTTTTTTTATCGATAATTGGGTCGATTGGGCCTGATTGAACCCTTATGGGACTGGTAAATTTTTTTCTGGTGTATTTCCTCCGCCTATAGCTCCTGTATCTCATTTTTCTTTCAATGATTTTTACATGATTTACATGATTTTTATTTCAATGGAGTTTATTGCCGGAATATTACACAGTAAATTCCTCACAACAATCCATCGCCCGAAGGCCTTCAGTTCAGTGATTATATATTAATAGGATTTTTCGATGTTTCGGGAACAACAAGATAAACAGACTTCGGTGAATTAAATGATTTTACGCTTTTACGAAATATAAAATCTATAAATATTCCATATTTTGTATGAATTATGCCCGATTTGATACATATATTTCCCCCTACACTTTAATTTTTTTGAAGTACTTCAGTTATCATTATTTTTTTATTTATTGATTGTTCTATATTTGATTTTGATATATGTTGATGAAACAATTGATAATTGATAGCAAAATGAATGTCATTGCCATCAGGCTTCACGCTGCTTTGGAAGTGCCGAGTAAACTAGTGGCTGCAGATATAATGCTGGGAATAATAAAAAATTTAACGCGCAATGCAATAAGAAAAAATGGTTTGTCCCCTAGAGCAATTCAATTGAATTTGAAATTCAGAGATATTCAGTTTCGGCGAAGTAGCGAGATGAAATGCGAGGTGAGTACTTCACTCAACGAATATGCACTGATAAACAAACACTTTAATAAAGTATACATTTACATTAAGAATACTTTATTCTTCCCTAGAATTTGAAGTATAAATCCTAAAGCATACTTGATTCAAGTATAGATTTTTCTCCATGAAATATTCAGCTGTAACAGAATTTACCGAAGGAAAAGTTCCAAATTAAATTCTAAGTTGGTGATGACGTGTATAGACAGTTCTTTTTTAAATATATATATTTTTTTATACATGGATATCAGACACCCGAATATGTGACTCGAATTGCTGTTCCCTCGGATTACCCATACGTCCTGGACTTCATGTGCGAGCACTACTTCACGACGGAGCCAGCACTGGTTAATATTGGTCTGGCCAGCCAGGAGCCATCACCTATTCTAGTGGACATGATGCAAAAACAGATAAAGGAAGGTATGACCATTATTACTCTGAATGAGAAGGGTTGCATCATGGGTGCTGTCATCAATGGGGGGACATCCCCCTGGTATCCAGATGAACTCCGTGAAGCAGCCAATTGCGCTGACAATAAGGATGTGGCGAGACTCTTGCGATTTTGTGCCAAAATTGCTGAGGCACCCGATCCCTGGAAGACTCATCATACTAATAAGGTCTTCGAATGTGCCCATATGACTGTTGATCCGCAATATCGGGGCAAAGGAATTGGTACCAAACTCGTTAGTGACAGCTGGATGCTAGCGAGGGATCTTGGATCTCGTGTCTTCAGAATGGATTGCACCAGCAAGTATGCAAGTCATTTATTAAAGTAATTAACTAGCCCAGGAAACAATGAAATCGATCACGAATATTTTAATATTGGGGAGAGGAGAGTTCTAGGAGTTTCCTATGGAAATTCTGAGGGGAATTATTAATATTCATATTTATAATAATTTTTCTCTGGTTTAACGCACGGTTTTTTCATTTTTACTCGCCATTTGCTTTCTTTATTGATGCTTAATCGGCTTTGTAAATACTGAAATATTATTCTGTATCAGATTCACAGCAAAAACAGCTCAGAAAATTGGACTGGAGTACGTGATGTCGATTCCGTTCTCGAGTTACGTAGAATGCGATGAATTTGTCTTCAAAAACATCAAGAAACCCCACGATTCAGTGGACATCTACCTCGGCTTTCCCTCGAAGCCCAAACAATCGTAGACAAATATTTTTTTCATAAGATTCAGCAATCGTCAAAGTTTAACACGACGAATGAACAACTTCACTAAGAAGCAAGTGCTTTTCCATTTTATTAAATATTTAACATCACATCATCAATAATCACTACGTTTTTATTTCTCAATTATTTCGGCTTAACTAAAATTTCTTTCACTCGTATACCCTTTTCGGGTTTTTACGATTTGTTCCCTTCCCACCCCCCAACCCCCTGTACCGCATTTGCTGAAAGGGAGGGAAAACCTCATCTGAGGGAAAAACCCTGCCCTGGCACAGTCGTCCTTTTGACAGGACTACCGCTCGGCAGTGAAACCGTGAGATCAGAGCGCTATATATTTTTGACCGCCGGTGCCCGGGATCGAACCCGGATCCTTGGCATGCTAGTCCAGCACTCTAACCGCACGGCCACTACCGTCGGTATTTCGGCTTAACTATTTATGTAAAGTAAATTTATACGTAGGAGGCAGCGCGGAATTGTTTCATAAATTCGTCTGGTTTTATCAATTGCCTTTGAGTAATGACTTCATGAAGCCATTTTGATGACAGTTTAGGCGTCCTCATTCGGCGGTTATTCGTAAAATCCACATGTACCAGGCCGAAACGGTTGCTAAAGAATTAATATTAAAAATGTAATCAAAAGACACTCATGGAGGTACTCAAGTAGCTCAAGTAATTATTTTTGTTTTTAACCCACCGGTAGGCTTCTTTCCATTCAAAAGTGTCCAGAAGACTCCAAACTGTGTACTTTTGGACATTACAACCATCATGTGTTATAGCCATAATCATTTGCTTCATGTAATCGTGCAAGAACTTTATTCTGTCGAGATCTTCAATGCCTGCTGTAGTCGAAAGACCATTTTCTAGGACATATACTGGTGGATTGTTGTACTTCTCTTTGATGATCCTAAGAACCTCTCCAAAACCCTCAGGAATGATCTGAAAGCAAATGAAATTGTAAGAATTCTTCCCCATAATCCATTCATCTCTTTCTAATTATTTTATCAAGTTGAATGATGAATATTGATTGTCTCTAATACGAAAAGACTTGTTTCAAAATATAATTACATTCAGCCAATCACTGACACCCTTTTTCCAAATTGGGTTGTCTGATTTCAATATGCCAGAATCATTGAGATGCGGATGTTGCTCTACCATGAAAGACGTGTAATGATTGAGTCCAAAGTAATCAGACGAACCTCTAGAATTATCAAATTAATATTAAAATACAATGGACTAATAGCAGTGGACTAGTATTTTCTACTTCTGAGTAAATTTTTTGAATGGTTCAAGAAAATTAATAATGTACTTTATGTACTCGATCCAAGAGGACGAGAGTTTCGGCAATTTGGATTTTGTAAATCCCTGATATTTGCTCTCTTCTGCAACCTTCTGCTTCATCACAGCTGGATAATCTCCATCCTTTGAGAATATCGGATTCGCTAACCAGCCGCAACCGAATTCGAATGCAATATCTTCAGCTTCTGCATCAATTCCATTAAGGGAATAATAATTATGACACAGAAGAACAATTCCAACTTGTCCATGTTGTCTATCCTTGAACTCCCTCTGGTACATGTGGTAAACTTTGGCATGAGCTTTCAGTAAATTATGGGCACAACGGTATTTTCTAGTATCGTCATTCATACCTGTGGTGAGAGTAAAATGTCAATCAATCAGTATTGATTTTTAACGAGTATGTACAATTGTTAGTAGATGAGAGGATAAAATATATAATTGTCAGATTTAATTGACACTCTAATTAATAAAAAAACTCATACCAAAATCGAAAAACTGACAGTAGATTATCGGCTCGTTCACAGTACTCCAGATTTTCACTCTCGACCCGAGCTCCCTGAAGACGACTCGGGCATACTCCACGAAATAATCAATCATATTATCATTAGCCCATCCTCCGACCTCTTCAAAACTCTGGGGATGATCCCAGTGATATAAAGTAACGACAGGTTCGATTCCATAGGTGTGTAATTCGTCAATGAGATTTTTGTAATATCGTATTCCAACTCTGCTGACATTTTCTGGCGATCCATTGGGTAAGATTCTCGTCCAACTTACCGAAAATCGATAGTGTTGCAACTAAAAGATGAATAAACAATTTCAGTCATGGGATTAATCAATTGTTAATTAATCTGATGACATTCTTACCCCCATATTCTTTGCCAGGGCAACATCTTCCTGATACTTGTGATAAGAGTCGCATGCAATATCTCCATTTTCTCTATCTTTTATCAATGAACTTTCCTCGTGGGTAAATGCGTCCCACACACTCACTCCTTTATCACTTGCATTCCATCCTCCTTCGACCTGATAAGCAGAAGTCGATGCCCCGATACTCAATCCACGAGGAATTTCCATCATATCAACTCCTGATCTGTTGTAATTATTTCAATATCAATTTGTCATTCGTTCTTCAAATGAAATTCAAATCTGTTTACTGATTTCCTCACCTTCCCAAAAGCCACAGCAATAATCCCACGCAGATCTTCATCCTCAAGTACAAATTACTCTTCAATTGAACTTATCCACGTATCACAGAAAATTACTTGTGCCAAAAATTAGATCCAATTGGCAATTTAAAATAAGAGTCAGAAAGATCGTTTCTGAATATATAGCAGTTTAAATTCGTAGTTATTGCATATTGATATCAATAATTATTTCATAGAGACACGTCTGAGATTATGTTTAATCCGCGATTCAATGATAACAGTTTTTTTTATTGAATGTGTATCGTTTTGGTGACGAACGTGATCGATTCAAAGTAGTTTTATCCCTAGGATGGAATTTTCGTGTAACAATTTTAAACATTAGTGATCGAACAAAGCAGAAATAATTGTCATAACAGGTCAGTGATGACTCCAGACTCGTGCGGCATATAAAAAATAAGTCGAGAATCTGTCATTCCAGAGATGCAGAGATGTCAATATAATACTATTATCATTCTAATTATTAATTAATTTTTTGAACTGTAGAATTGAATTTCCGAGGCAATAATTCCTACAAATATTAGAACAGGACAGGGAATAAATTACGATTTGAGGTGTATTGTTTATATAAATAATAAAAGAAAATCATCAGTTTGTGAAAAAAAGAAATTTGTATTTGAGCGAATGAATAAATTTTCCATCTTCAGAGTTCATAAATTTGAATGTAAATTTTCCAATTCTCGTCTAGTTAAACCGCCACGCACTTCTGATTCAGGCACATTTTTCCAGCTCCACATTGAGCTCCATGAGGCACCAGCCCCGGATCCGGATCATTCAACCCAAGATCTATAATGGCCGCTCGACATTTTACCATTTCCGTATTTTTCATTAAAAAAGAGTGACTAATTACAGCTGCAGATTCGAGACCAAAGAGCAATGAATTTCCGTCAGAATGGCACTGTAGCCTTCCACAGAGAATATCCTCATCATCACATGGATAATAACTAGAGTTCATTGAATCGTATCGACAATTGCCTCTCCTCGAGGCTTTCTTATTCAAATTATAGCAGAAATCCTCAGAGAAGCTACCCTCGCCCCAAAGAACTTTACACTGATCAGTGCGGGACCTACACCTTCCCTGATAGCAGAATGCCTCTCCCACTTTGCAGACATCTCCATTAATTTTGTGTTCATCATCAGGACAATATTCACTATTGCCTGTGCAATACTCAGCTAGATCACACTCATTGTCAGCTGTTCTGCAAGGAGTGCCTCGATTTTTCCACTTGCACGATGACAAATCACAACATTCACCAGTTGCACAGGTAGCATTAATCGTCAACGTACAATTGTCAGGATTGCAACAAGCATTGTCACAATGTTCCTTTACACCGCAATCGCATTCCTCTCCAGACTCCACAAACCCATTGCCACATACTGGACCACCAAAAATCATCAGTGGTTTATTACGGAGACAGTGATCCATTCCATGATTGAATGCAAATGCCAAAGAGTCTTTTGAACAAGAGGACCAGTGCCTTGGAGCTGATATACCAAATTCCGATGACATAGTGCATCTCTCCTCTGGACAGCTGCAATTCCTGGAGTCATGCTCCATCCCAAGATTGTGGCCCATCATATGGGCAATCAAGGATGCAGTTAATTTAACATCCAATTGTTCATGAGTGATTCCACCTGAAAAATCGTTGGTGCAGATGGTACCTTTCAGGGCCATTCCAACCACTCCGTTATCAAATCCAACGTGAGTCAGTAAATGCGCGTAATCATTTGGAATTTTCCTTGTGAGATTATCTTTACGATAATGTAAAAAATTCAACAGAGTTGATTGACGATTTGAGGTGATGTCTATTGGATCGTTTTCGGCCCAGACTTCAACACCCACTAGAGCTACGAAGATGTTCAGAGGTTCGTATAAACTGTTGATGATCTTTGCCAGGTCTCTGCACCGATGATGGATTTTCGTGAGGTTTCGCCCCAGAAAGATGTATTGTTGGTTATCAACTACAAGTGCTAATTCAACGTAACGGGAGTTACTATTTGAGTTATAAGGACCTTGAGGGCTTTCATCGGTTTTTCTCTCATTTCGATGTAGCTTCTCAGTCCAAGGTCGACTGTTTTCGTAGCTCTTATTCCATTCTGCAGAAAATGTCTAATTAAAAATTTCACTATCTCACAGGCTCAGGGGTTCGGAGATATTAATATTTTGATCAGAAAATGAACAAGCTCAAGACCAAACCAATTGTTGTTACGTTATCAATGAAATTCAATGAGTAGAAGTATTTTTTTTAAGGGATCGACGTACCTTTTATTTCTCCGCTGTTAATTAATATGTTTGAATTACTCATTGAGATTCGATCGTGAGGCACTGCCTGAATAATGAGAAAAATCGTTGAAAGCGAAGAAAAAAACAAGACTTTTCCCATTATTATTTGTGTTGTGTAGATATTTAAAGAATTTTCATTGAAGGAGCAATGTCTTGAGAATGCTGCACTTTGTGGGGATAACGAGAGATTAAATTGAGAGAGTAATTGGAGTTTGTGATTTGCAGGAGAAAAATGGAGATGATTTATGTGGTAATCAGCTCGTTATCGGTCTCAACTCTCGGGATAATTTTTTCCATGATTTTCCTACACAGTATCAATGATCCTTGACGACAGACTTGCATAAATGGAAATATATGTTTCTCTCACTTTTAAAATTAGATGGAATGAGGAAAATCAACGCAGAATACACGGATTCAATAAAAATTATCCGCAAAATTATAGAAATATCAGTTTGATACACTGGGATGACAAGGAAAGCCACGAGGACCTTAAAATCCTCGAGTTTATCGAAAGCCAATTTTTATCAAATTTTTGTATCTAAAATCTTGAGTTTTCTTTATTTTTTTCTTTCAACTATTCAAGGATAGTTTCTTTAACGGATAATTTTGTCTTGTAATTAATATTAATTATTTTTAATTTCCATGTAATTTTGGATTTCAAGGTTTTAAATAAATAAAACACTTTTCCCTGGTGAATCAATTTTCGACCTTACGTCCATTTTTATTCTTTGCACAGAATTCAATAGAATTACGCAACAAGCGATTTCAATTCGAATGTTTCCCGCGCAGATCATGTGTTGTCTGATCGAAATGCCATCTTGGAGTCGTATCCGAACCCCCTGGACCCCCTGGACTGAACCTCTACCTTTAGTCTATCCTCTTTGGTGATAAAATGTATTGGTAAATACGAGGACAATGCGATAGTAAATCTCTCGGATGAATCCAGGTAAGACCCAAAAAAAAACTCCAATAAATTTATCATAAACGGACATTTCACTCTAGGATATCCCTGAAGTGACAATCATCACTAAAAATTCAATAATCAGAGAAGGTCAGGGGCTTTGTGAAAAAGAAATACTCACCAGGAACTTGTCCTCAATTTTTCACCTATTCTAAAAATCTAAATCTAGATATCTCGATATAAAATCTTGATTTATTTTGCCGAAATGGTCACAATCGTTGGGTTTCAGTGGATTCGAGCCTCAGGATGATGCACTACAACTGGATTCCATCGCTGAATCCTCTGGAGAGCCGGATGTATTCGCAGTATATTGAGGCGTCATATCGTTCTCGTTTGAACCCCGACGAGGACAGCGAGCAAACTGGAGACGAGACCCACGACACAATGACCTCAGCAACGTCAGGTGAACGGAGTTCGAGTGCTGATCTATTCCGGTTGGAATTCGCTGCCTCCCAGTGGTCAAAACTCGTCACGAATGCCGAGGGCTTGTTCAGTAAGCTAGTGGCAAGTGAAATTCTTCCAGACACCGAACAGGACCAGATTAAACAGTGGCTCTGCCTGAAGCAGGAGTACGAGGAGTGCATAACGAGTGACGATGGAGCTAGCATTCCAGGGTACCAGGAGAATCCTCGAAGATCCCTGGAGCGAATTGAAGAGGTCACAGAGACAGACGAGAGGACAGACGAGTCCGAGGCACGAATGGAGTTTCGAAATACATCAGATGGAAGTTCCGAGTCAGAGACTGAAATGTCAGAGGACGACGATCAGAGCGATGGGGAGTCCGTCAATCCAGACTTCCTGGAGAAGCTGGACGATTGCCTGAATAAACTCAAACTGGAGACGGACAGACTGATAGACGCTATAGACGATGACGTCCAGGAGATGGGGCTGACGATAATCTCGGGGAGTGGACATCCAGTGAACAATAACAACGATTATGTGCCACTAATAAAACCCACGCCAATTAGAAACGCCAATTCCAGAAGGAATTCGATGCTACCAGGCTCAGAGATGTGTAACGAGGTGATAGCTTTTAATGGGGCTTTCAAGCCATGTGGGAAAACCTATGAGGAGGAGCTGGACAATAGTCGAGGCTTTGGGAATGATAATCAGGAGGCTTTCAACTCTCAGGACCTGTTGCTGGAGCCCCTCAAGAGTTACGAGATGCCTGAACCTATGAAGACATTGAAAACACTCACTCTGAACAACGAAGCAAAGCAGACGCAGGTGAAAAAAATCCAGTCAGACCTTGATGGAGCCCAGAAGAGGATCGGTGAGCTGGAGACGACTATCAAAATAAAGGAGAAATTCATTGCAGATATGATTAAAAATTCAGAAGCCAGGAGCAGTGCTAAGCAGAAATTCCAGAGGAAGAGGTCGAAGCTTGAGGAGCAGTATTACAACACAAGAACACAATTGGCTCACGCTGAGAATTCTCTGTACAGAGACGAGGAGAAGACAACGCACAAACGAGAGATTGAGTTGTATAAGAATATGGCAATACACTACGAGCAAAGGCTCATTGATATCGAAATGATGAAGCAAATTGCTGGCGACTCGGCGAAAAAAGTTCTGGAGCTGGAGAGTTCTTTAAATTCATCGAAGAAGCAGATGGAGAAGCTGAAGAAACAGTTGAAGAAGGAGGAAGTCAGGAAGAGTCAGCTGGAGGACGAAGTTGCGGAGGATCAGAAGAAAATTCGAGAACTCGAGGAGAAGTATAACCTGACGGCTTCAAAACTCAAGGAGATGCAGTCGGAGAGTGAGGACGAGAGGTCCAACTCCAGGTACAGGGGTGAGGATAAGAAACAGGATATGCTAGAGGTGAGAATATCTCATCTGGATCATATTCTCAAGGAGAAATCCATGGACTTGGAAAGAGCTGACGATGTGGACTCGAAAGCTGCTCTAAGAATTGAAATTGATAATCTGAGGAGAACGAAGGAGAGACTGTCCGAGGAGAAGTGCAATCTCGATTCGAAGCTCAAGGAAAATACTTTGAGTACTTTCGAGGAGAGGAAGAGGCTAGAGTGTGGAGAGGCTATTGAAGTAGTTGATGTGATGATCGAGCAGAAGAATGAGAAAATCTGTGGGAGAAAGTGCTTCGATGTGAAGAACTGCAAGAGGGAGGACATGGAGATGGTGCTGATGCGGCAGCTGTCCATGCTGAGTCTCGATGAGATTGTTAAGTTGTTCACTAAGTATTTTAACAAGGTAATTGATCTGAAAGAGGCAGGAAGGAGTCTTGAAATACAGCTGAATGATGCTGAGGCGAGGATTCAGTCGTTGGATATCAGAAATAGAGAGTTGAACAATTCTTTGAAGCATGAGAAGGTACAGGCTGAGAGGAGAATGATATTTCTCCGAGAGCAGCACGAGCAAAAAATGCATATGATGTTCAGGAGTGTTGCTGATGAGACTGGCAGCTCCAGCTATGAGAAGCATGATAAGGACTCGGAGATTGTCAAGTACAGGAGGGAGAATAAATTTTTGAGGAAGAGGGTTCAGGATCTGGAGACGCTGTTTAGGGGCTCGGCTGTTGCCAGAACAACCAGTCCTCCCAGAATTTCTCAGCAGGAGCTCAAGCAAATTGGACCATGCGCTGCCACTACCAAAGTCACCAGACAGAGAAATAAACTTATCATTCAGAAAACCGACTGCGATAAGAGGAAAAAGTGATGGAGTCGTTCTATGGAATGAGGAGATCCTTCGTTCATTTTTTTTTTTTGCTTTTTTGCAAGCTCTCGCTCTTGTGATATCGATGGAAAGATTTTTTTGTAGCAAGTCAATTTGTGATTTATTTTTTCTTACAATTTGAGGGAATTATCCAGATTCTTCGTGCCAAGAAGGTCCTCGTTCCATTTTACAGAACAGACTGAAAATATTTACATACAGTGTTCTCAGTATCTTCAATAACTTCCCAACGAATTTTCGAAACGTCAATTGGTGTTCAACTATCAGTATTCCCTGGGTCAATGCTCAATTATTCGGTTTTCAATATTCTCATTTTTTAGGTTGAAAAATGTTTATATTTCTTACTTCCGGTTTACAATGAGTTATTTAATGTGATCTTTTGTATATAAATTTTTTCATTGCGTTTACAAATAAAAAATTGTGTGATTCATGAGATTGGATTATTTATTTTTGGTTTATCAGTATTGGCGGGGACCGCCTCGTCTAATTGCTGGTTGCACTCTATTTGGGGGAGTGATGGAAATGTCCAGATAATCACCAATCGTGAACCTGAGAATAAACAATCAACGTTTAAATTTGAATAATTAATCAATTATCAATAACTAACGAATAAATAATGCATGTAACTCTACGTGAATTGACGAATGAAATGGATATTTTTCTAGTACGTGAAATAGTAACTTGTTCGGTGAATTTTTTATGGTCGTTATTTGAATGGTGTACCTAGCTTGAGCCAGTGTTTTATTGTCGTCAGCTCCTTTTTGTCCAGAGCATGTGACACCAATTTCCCTCATCCTATACCCAGAGTTCCTCAATTCAGGAGTTACCAATGAGAAATCAAAATACGTTCCCTTGCTCCTGGCGTCTGGATTAACTTCCTTAACTAAACCCGTTATTTCACGTAGAGTTGCGTCCATCCAGGTGTAAATTTGGAGTTCATTCGAGGGAACATTTCCACGACTGTAATCCATTATGTTGTGGTGGCGACCGGTGTTGCAGAATACTCGTAAAAGTAGTGGACATGTCTGTAAACAATAATTGAGTAAACGAGGAAAATTCAATTTGCAAAAATCCCTCGTGTTTGCACGATTCATTTTAATTTGATTTCTTTTTCTAACGTGGCATTGTCTATTATTATAAATTCAATTGACGAGTGTAAACAAAACTCTGAGGAGAGGTTATGCTACAAAGTGATGACTTTAGTAGATCAAATGTGCAGGAAAGGGAGAGATGATAGCGAGAGGTTGGCAGTAACCGATAATAATTGTTTAGTTGATTTCGAAAATATCGTGAATTTACGTACCTTTTCTCTGTCCACTGGTTTTTCAGGCAATTGTTTATCATCAACAACCATTGACTCTAGAGCTGACGCCATTGTACTATGTGAATGATAATCGATTGATCGAAGAGACCGATGGTTTTTGGCGAAAAATCGAGATTTTTCAGTCGATCCATCCAGTTCATCAACTGTCGATATTTTTTTTATTTCAATATGGCGGATATTTTGGTTTCTAATGCACCGATAAATTGAGAACACCCCGATTTTCCCGGTTTTTATTATTTATTTGGAAATTATTCTTAAGTTGGTGAGTGACTTTAGTCCACCGGTTCTCAATATTATTTTATCGATTTTTTATTTGAATTGAATGTACTTCTACCATTATTTAAACTCACAAGTTAAAAATTTGTTAATTAAACAGCGGCAAATGATTCCGTAAAAATTATTCAACACTCGACAATATTCAGCTTATGTTTCTGGAAAATCATGATTTTCAATCATTTCGAAAATAGAAAATGAGATGAACAACGAGAAAGTCTCGAAGAATAATATTGTTCAGAATTTCTATCATTATTAATAATAATATTATTAATGGGAATTTTGATTTTTCAATAGTTTGGACAGGGATTACTTTCAATTTGTCGATGCCAATCCCAGAAAGCTCCCGATCAGAAGTCGCAGAAATGTCGCAGGACAGTAATCACAGTTCCCAAAGTTCAGTTTCTGAGGACAGTGGGGCTGACCACAGCGACAGTGATGATTCTTCAACAATGGATGAGGACGACTACGAGAGGAGGAGAAACCAGTGTCAAGAGAACGTTGACGATCTCGAGAGACAGTTCGTACTGCTCAAGGAGCAGTAAGTTTGCTCATTTATTTAGAAAATAATTGAGGCTCTCCATTGGATTTTTGTATCCCTCCGAAGTCTTCAAATCATAGTCATCAACTGGGAATCCTTGCCAATTATTAGTTATTAACAATGTTAATATAGAAATAATAAAATAGCTCATTTATTGCAGACTCTATCGTGAACAAATATCTCAACTGAATGCAAAAGTCAGAGAGATCGAGGAGGAAACCGCTGAGGAATATGCAGTTCCTCTGCTCCACCTCCAGGAGAGAATGCAGACGAGAATAGAAGTCGCAGAGATTCTCCTCCAAATGAGACGTGGCAACATCCAGCACAAGTACGAGGGTGAGATAAAAGCCGCTGAGGACAACCTGAGAAACGAGAAAAACATTCTGAGGAATTCTATCTACTCTGAACTTCAGGATAAGATCCGGAGGCTTCAGGAGGATAAGAACAACGTGGACATCCACGAGGACCTGTGGCTGAGCTCCACAGGACGAAGGAGGAGGAATGCCAAGAGAAAACGCACGTTTTACGTATCAGGTCCTTACATCGTTTATATGCTCAACGAATCTGATATTCTCGAGGATTGGGCACTCATCAGGAAGAGTCTGAGCTGTCGAAATTCGGGGATTTTGCTCCATAAATAATCATCATTGTGAAAATAGTGAGGATTTGCTCGGTCAAGTAGATAAACTTTTTTATGGTTTGATAATCAATTCAAAACGGGAGTTATCGAGTGAATGATAATTAATTAAGTGAGCTGTTGAAGGGATAATTAGGGGAGGCAGACATTTGGTTTGAGTGGGGTAATTAATATTGATTTGACGAGGGGACTCCAATTTCTGTAGTTGTATTTCTTAATGGAATCTGATAATTTATATTTTGTATTGATTGTGACAAGTGACACTTTTCGATGAATATTTTTTATAAAAATTGTAAATAATAGAGATTATGTGGATTTTGTGATTGTTCGTCAGCTATGTAATTCAATCATCTTCAATTGCATATTTTTTTAATAATCATTTTTACATTCGAGCTGAATTTTAATTTGTCCTGGCAGGAAAAAATAAAATATTTGTTCGATATTCTGGTGTAAAGACTAAAATAAATGAGTCAATTAATTTTTCATTCACGTGTACTTGTACGTGTATTTGTTTCAAAGAGAATTCAACCTGGATAATTTCTTCTCTGATTTTTTTTATTGGTTATTCAGTAATAATTGGAGCATTTAATTAACTCATTTTTTAAATCCGTTCATTTTCAATGACAAGAATACAGCTGTTTGTGGATGGTTATTATTAATATTCAATTATTGGGTAAAAAGAATTATCGAGGAATTTATTCCCTTGAAAATTAAAATGATTTTTCCTTTTTAATTGGCTAATTATGTTAGGCAGAGTTAGATGACAGTGTAAATAGATTCGACCATAATACGATCTCCAGACATACAATAGAATAATACCGGAAGTAAATTCACTCTCCACAAGTCTATCCCAGCAAATGTAGAATTTCAGAGGTCCTAATTTCCGTAAGTACCACAGAATAACAGAGACCACACATACACTGACATCCAAGAAACGAAAATCCCTGAAAATTCCATTAGAATTCAATTCAAACCAAAAAAAAATTATAGAATTCCTTCCGAAATTCTCCACTGCTTAAGAACTAATGAACTGTTAATCTTTTTTTTTATGCTTATTTTACCTCGCTTCGAGTCGGATGAGACTATGTGGCGATTGATCAGGACTTTTTAAAGCTGGTTAGATCTCACCATTCTACCCGGCCAGGAATCGAACCTGGAACCCATCCGTTGTGAGGCAACGACCTTAACCACGAACTGTTAATCATTCTTGATTATTAGTTCTTATTCATTAATGGCATTTACTTCAAGTGCAGAAAACAGGAATATTGTGAAAGCAGATATTTATCTAATGAATAAATAAAAATAAAAATATTTTTTCGTTAGTGTAAAGACGCTGTGAATTCGTGCAATTTTTAAATAAATAAATCCTATTGTCGGAAGGGTGAAATTGTGGAAAGAGGGGAGTGATTTATTCTGGCAATTTGGCCTATCACGGAGAATCAATCCTTATCAGCGCGATTTGTGTGGGGTTTCCTCGGAAATACCCAGAGACGGCTTCTGATGAATAATAATCATTTATTGATGAATAATTCGGTGGGTCCGTATTCTCCGCAGTAGCCACGGTGGAATGGTCTCGGTAATTCCTCACTCGATCCATGAAAATACCCTCCCCCTTGTTTCTGGTTTCTGGTACACCGTAAACTAATATCCAATGCATAGTAAGATACTATCGTACCACTAACGAACGTTTTTCCCTTAACCCTATGACTGTCGGTTGTATTATTGATTCCCGGCATACTAAACCCAAATGTTGTTGAACTTGCGGTGTTTAATATTTATGCCAATCATGCTGCGGTCGAGTGATATCTCCGTAAATATGTCCGGAATAATCATGCGGCGGAAGGCTCGATTGAACGCTCAAAATTTTCGTTACTCAGGCTTTTTCCAGTAATCAAAAAATGTTTATCAAACCGAAAATCGATGCTAGTGTTAACTTACTGTGTATCCAATTTCATTTTTCATTTTTCATTTTTTCGGGTTTTTGGGGATTTTGTGAAAAAAAAAACATCGGAAAGTTCGTACGAAAATTCTTTACCTATCAATGAGTCCAAACTGCTAGTTTTTTTTTGATTGATTTTGGATTTTGAAATTTGATGAAAACTCTAGTCTTTCCATTTTTTTTGCCAAATTTTCCATGGTAAACTGAGTTATTGTTTTCCATGGATAATTAAAATAAACTAAAGCCATCGGCTTAAAACATCGGACCTTCCCGCTGCTCCGAAAATTAATAACCAACAGCCCATGAAATTCGATTTTTTCTGTTTCCATCCCACCCATCTGGAAATGTTTCCAATTTATTATTGGACACCGTTTTATTATATTCATTCATCTCTGTAACTCTATTCTATTGAAATTAAAATAGAAACTCCGGTCGTTTAATTTTACAATTTTAATAAATACGAAATGGGTCATTCTAATGTGACCCCGAGGTAATTTAATCCAAAGGTGAAAAAAAATATTCAATGTCTATTTTGAAACGTGTTAATTCAAATAAAATTCAAATATTTATAGACAAAAAATAAATATATCAAAATGAATAATCGAAGATGGGTATTTACAATGAAAATCCCATAGGATAACAATAAATTAATTTTTTTCAAAGTATATCAAATAAGAACATATAAATATAAATAAAAATTCAAATAGAATGAGATTTAATGAAATTGAACTGAAATTATAGAAAACTCATTTATTTATTCATTTATTTATTTATTTATTTATTTATAGGATTGAAATCCTTGGTTCATTCAAATTATAATATATAAAATGAACTAGTAGTACGTTTTTATTTCGAACCCCCAGCGGATACGGAAGTCCTTCCGTTTCGGGGTGAATACAATTTAAACGCGATCGCATAATAGAAAATGAGATAGAGTAAAATATAGCGCATAAAAATATACGTTGAAAATCTATAATTGGCCGATCTGGCATAGCAAGATATATTTTCCACTTTATCCCTTTCCGGGATAGATTAACAAACTGGCAATGGTACGTTGATAAAACAATCTGGCAATTTCGTTGAATGAACAATTACAACTGTAATTCAATAGAGAATCCGCATAGCACTAAATAACAATATAAAAATTAATAAATTCGGTGAGCAATTTTATAGAATGAAAATAATATTTCATAGAATAAATAGTCTAGACAAATCAATTCCATCGAATACATTTAGCCAATCATTTCATTCAAATCGATTAACAATATTTTTAACGAGCGCTTTATCAACAGATATCAACATTCTGTGATCCGAGGGAGATTATTCAATAAATAAAATATTAATTAAATTAATTAACCACCTATTAGTGAATTCACTAAATAAAATAATAAATACCCAATAAAATAACATGGAATACATAATATTTTTAAAGAAAAAAAGATGATGAGATGAAAGATGAGAAGAAATGGGTAGGAAATTTTCAAGTAGCGAATAAGAACCTCATCCATACCCCGCAAATAGAAAAATGTAAATAAAAAATGAATGGAAGGCGTGAACACTTGACCTATCGCACCAGTCAAGCTTTCCATAAAAAAAAAGGGAAAAAAAGAGAGTAATTACAAAGGATTCACCCTGAAAATCAATGAGCCATCCCCCATTGGTGGGTAAACCACCTAGAACACCCTCGTTGGACAGATGTTTGCGGATTACTGACGATTACTGACGGCTGGTTTGGCAAGCATGCGCTTTCAAGCTCCCCTGATTCTTGAGGCTGGAATATAGCATTTTTTGGGGTAAAAGCCATCGGGTGTGGGTGGCAAAAGATGGAGAAGGGGCAGTGATGAGACAACATCAGGACTGGGCTGTATAAAAGAGGTAAGGGATGGGGAAGGGGGTTGTTGAAGAACCATGAGATAAAGTAGAGGGGGTGGGAATGGGTGCTAGTGTGTCAGTTGTTCCAAGGCAGGAGCAACTCAGTCTAGTGTTAACCGTCATTCATTGCGAATACCTCGGTCAGGACTTGGAAAAATGCCGCGATATTACGCGCCGTCAATTCAAATTTTCGTTTCATCACAACTACCGGCGTAGGCCATCCCCACTAAAATTACCATCGGTACAAGTTCAACAAGAAAATTCCCAAGAAAATTCCCAATAAAATCAGGATAATTCATTTTGCTAATTTTCTATCCACCCTCTCTCCCAATCGGCCTTCCCTCACTGCTCAATCATTTTTATTTATATTGTCAACGTCATCTTCAACGAGTGACCACTCAATATGACTTGACATGACTTTTCAAGGACACCCTAGTGTCCCTGTGCGTGTGTGCAAAATCGAGTAAGGTCCTCGTGTTTTTGGAGGAAATTCTGTTATCCTCGGGGAGGATCGATCACCAGGATTACTCCGGAGGCTTTCAAATTATCGGTGAATTCCGTTACATGGGAACGTACGAGGCAAGTTCCACAGGCAAGTTTTCAGAGTTCTCAGCCCTCGAGGGGTGAAAAATGAGGTTTAAATCTCGGGAAAATGTCGTGGGATCAAATAACTCGAGAAATTGGTGGACGCAATCGCGGGATCTGGATGAGTGTTTTGATAAATGGCTGTAATTGATGCTATTTCGGAGGATTTAACGAATCCGGATTGGATCCACCTTTTTTTCCACACATAACCTCGTTTTGATTATTAATATTTTATTGTTATTATTATTTTTAGTTAAGATTGCACTGGGAGTTTTAAACGGTCGAATTTCGCGTGTCCTCTGGGCGCATATGGACCTGGGGTATTGATGGAATCGGGGATGTATTGGCTGAGCGATTGAGGCTCAAGAGGATTTTCACTTCTGGGGATGAGAGTTGGTCTAATCAGGGGATAAGTTTCTGTTGAGGGCTTTTGACGAGAGGATTTCGGGGTGAAGCTTTTTTTTGTGATTATGGAGTATGTCGTTTTCAATTTCTTGAATTTTTTTATTGAATGGAAATTTTAATGTAAATGATATTTCGATTATGGACGCTCGGTTATTTTTAACGTTTTGAGTTTTTAATTGTTTTGGAGGTGAAATGAAGACTCCGGTTGAGGCCTGACAGGCACAATTTCATACTCCGGATGTCTCGAAATAAGGTGGGGAAATAATCAAATTTTGTTTGGAGACTTGTGATTGAAAATTGAAATCTCTGAGAGTTCGAAACTCGGACTTTTACAAGTTTCAGGCTTGCGAACTTGTTAAGTTGAGACTTTCATAAATGCTAATTTCAGACTTTTAGAACTTCATCCCAGACTTTTTGTCTCAATTCCCATTTTATTTCAAGCCCCACGGTCCAAAAAATGTGGAATAGAGAAAAATCCCGATTCAGTGCAAAAAGTCTCACCTCAAGACTTGGCGACAATTAAAAATTCTTCCCCTCTCAATTTCCAAAATTTATCTATGTTTAAACAACCACAAACAAATAACTTAAATATTAACCAATTACTTGATTATCAGACAGTAAAAAAGACATAAAATAAAGATAATAAAAAATCGTAAATAATTTTGAAAAATAGTTAATAATAATTCAACAATGTTATTTACACTAACTTTATAAATTTATATGACAACAATTGATAAGATGATTTTTTTAGACTATCAATGTTATTGAACCTGATAATAATAAAGCCATTATGATCATTCATCATTTATAATTCTATAGTCATTGAGTCATCCGGGAAATTCGAGTCTTAATTCCTGGGACATCAATAAAAACATGTCCTATTATCCAGTCACTCCCCTATACAGATTTGATAAATTCCAGAGAACACATCCGCCGGAAAAAATCTTCTGATGTCGATCCAACAATTCGGTACAATGTATTCATTAAGAGAGAGTGCTGGTTGAATTATAGGGGCTTAAGAGATTTCTGCTGTGTCGGAGTCTTGAACGGACTAACATGAGGGAATTATTTATCCACTGATGAGCAGTCATTCGTACCAGGGGATAATTATTTTCCAAGGGTGAAATTCCCGAATAACGAACAGTTCGATTGATTACCCCATCAATATAAAAAATACCAATCACTTTGTTTTTTTTTTCTTTTTAATCAAAAGAAAATGTTCCCCTGTGGGAAACCGAGGGCTGCTTTTCGAAATCGACGGAATAGTGTATTCAGCGAATTTTCACTTTGATTTTTCATTACTTTGAGCGAAATACGAGGGATTGATTAGGGGAGACTGATGCACTAGTTTTCAGGCGTGTTAATGAGAAATGGGGGTTGTCTATTCGAACACTAGTGCATCCAGGGAAAAAGTTGAAAATTAAACGCTCAACATGGGGGGAGGGAAATATTGGTTATTGAATACCACAAGAATTTTCTCTGTGAATATTTTAGTTTTGGGATGAAATTATTCACTCCCTTTGTATCGAGGGTGCGAGGTCATTCGAGAAAACAATCAACTCCAGTATGTTATTGTCAATTGTTCGGAATTGAATTAATGGTTAACGATTTATTGACCAAATTTTAATTTCAAGTTCCAATGAAAAATCAAGCGAAATAACCAATAATGCGATCAATCCATTAAAATTCTTCCGTTTCAAAATAATGAAATTCCATTTTATCCGAATTCCGGAAAGTTCGAGTTTTAATTAAATCCTTTAATCGATTTTATTGATAAATTGAAATGTTTTTGTGGCGACATTTAAATAATTTGTTAAATAATTTAAAGAGCCTTTCAGGGAAGATTTGAAAGATTTATCTCTTGATGCTGGGATATCGAAGTTCTCCTATTGGAAATAACTCCGTCGATATTCCCTGGTGCCTCCGAACATGTACTATTGGCAGAATGGAAGAGTGATATTGTTGATAACTGATAAACCCCCGAGGCTTTCCACTTCTTCAGGAATCTTGAGGGATTTCTTAATGCCATCGGACACCTTCCAACTGACGTTTTAATCCACCGAAAGGATTGTTTTGAGGGTCGAGATTCCTGAAATTCTGACGCAGATTACGATGAGGCTAACGTCGACGGACAGCTCTTTCCTTCCATTCCCGTCGATTCCTTTAAAAATAGAACCCGCCAAATTCAATCCATTACCATCAGACGTCCGTCCACGGGAAAAAAAACTAGTCACGCCAATATGGTGGAACAATTCGCGATGGAAAATCATCTGGCGTTTATTTTTCCCCACAAAAACCACAATGTATTTATTCTTCGAGTGGAACATCATCGCGCTTATGTAATTCAATTGAACAATTTATCGAAATAAATGTTTTTCCATTAAATACAGGTTTTAGGTGAAATATTGAAAATGCTATTTACTGGAAAAATTTCTAATAATTTCTGGATTTTTTATAGTTATTGAATTTATACAGCAAAAGTGGAAATTATACTTGGAATTTCTGTAGAATTATTTTTTCATTAATCAAGGATATTTTGAAGATTCTCTTGCAATGCTTAATTGTCAGAAAACTAAAGCATTTATTTCCCTGAATTTTTAATCTATTGAAGATTCGACATTTTATTAATAGATCAATTATTATTGAGAGTTAAAAATTCAATCATAAATGATAAATGTTGAGACCGTTTTTAATTAAAATTTGATTAAAAGTGATATAATGAAAAATGACTTTGTGATTGCAATGCTAAGAAAAATGTTGAATAGTGTACGTTTCAAGTGGTTGATTAAATTTTGACATTTTTTTCTGGCATTTCTTCTGACATTTTATTGAATTTTCGTAGCCGTGAGGTTGCCGATTGATTGGTGGGTTCGATTGTCCCTGAGTATTGACATTATTACTCCTCGACGGATGAAAAGAGGGATAAGAAAGGGAATAGCTGGATGAATGAAAAGAAATGAGGTTGAGAGTACTCGCCAGATAAATTTTGGTAATTTAGACGAAATCAAATAATACCTTTCACGCGAGTGTCTGGTCGTTCTTCAAACGTCGCATTTTGGGAAATGGAAAAATAATCCAAGTCCATCTTGACGTAATTTACGTAGCAACCGGTGAATCCGGGTAAAGCGAAAATATCGGAAAAGAGTCTGTGTTTCAGTGGAAAAGAGCTCGATGATACGCAGGTGTCAAGAGAGATAAAGTAAGAGGAATTGTTTTTATTGTAGAGTTTTTGTTGACTGATCTGTCTAGTGCGCTCACGAAAACTGTCCAATTGTTCAATTCACAGAATACCTTCTCCCCTAAATAAATGCTTTATAAATTTGTCAAGGAAAAATCAAGAATCATATAATAAATTAATTCACGAGATAAACGAAAAACCGAGAAATGGCACTCGACATTGAAATAAAATGCGTGGAGAGGTTTTTATGGAAAGAGTCGAGAACACGAAAGCCAAGCAAAAGCCATTATTTTCCTCAAAAGACCAATTGAATGAACAGTAAGAACGCAAATATTTGTGTAGTTCGGGCTCAATCGATATTCGGCATTAAGTGATGAATGGAAAATGGAAATATAAAATAGTGGTCCAGGTAGGGATCCGATAGAACATAAGCCTCAAAGGGAATACGTGGTGTAATGAAGGATATTGCTCTAGGTGTTTTGGAACCACCGGGTAATGGAGGACTCCGAGGGATTTGTAAGAAGCTGGCAAGCGCCTTAATTCTACTTGCAGGCGTTTAAATATAACCAAGCGATAAGAAGTTAATCTCATAAAAACAACTCAACTCAGTTATGTATTTAATTTGAAAATTAACTCGGTAATAACTGCTACACTAACGGCATCGAATGACTTGATAAACTTCTGGGGATATTTCAACGTAACTTCGCTGTTGCTCAAGTTTTTCCCGTGACATCGTACCTCCATTGAAAATTTCATCGAGTTATTCTTGCGTACCAATTCGAGGAGAACAACGACAGAGTCGTTATTTCGGTTATTCCATTACTTGGAATTGTCGTTAACATTTCTCATCAGATGGATTTTATCTGGAACAATAATTTCAAACAATCATTCCGCCCTCTATGGAATACCATCCACCTCTGTTTCGGGTAATATGCTCTCCGTTGTTTTGGAGAGCCCTTTGTCACAGTTTCACTGGCCTACGGATGCCCTCGCCCATGTTCCCGAAGACAATGGAGTTATCGATGATTTTTTTTTTCCTTCTTTTTTTTTTTCCTCGACATTCTCCACCTCTCCAAATCTCCTACCGCTATTCAACCAAAATCCGCCATATTGAATGTGTCAAGTATGTAAACACATGGCTGAGAAAAATGACGAGTTTAAAAATTATTCTGCAAATCACGCGAGCAACACATGCCCTCGTGTTATCACGATCGGAGTATGACTTGACACCTTTTGCATCCTGCAAATGGTTTTTTCTGTTCCATTTCGTTGCTCAAACGATTCAATTGGCTGCTGTATCGATCCACAACCGGCTGACCCGGTTCCAGGAGTTCATAATGACAAAAACCCTTCGTGTCCCTGCAGATAGACCAAGTGGTTGGTCTAGTCGGATTTTTTTTTGTGGTGGCACATGGTGTCGGCTCCTCTGGAACTGACTCTTCATTTTTTTTTCAAGGTGAAAATCTAGTGCGGCTATTCTTCATTTATCGCTGATATTCTGGACGGGATATCCGGTTTTTTCTGGGACTCCTAACGTCCGAACCACGAAACAATGAGTTGTTTCAAGTTGCGACCGCTAGTGCGGCCTGATCAGCGCTGGGATTTCCCGGTTTACCGATTTTTGGGGATGAACGATGATGAATTTTTACACAATCATGGTATCGTCGCGATGAGTCAGATAAATCGTTTAATGATGGGTTTTATGGGTTTGTACGGATTTCCTACGGCGGCGGAAAAAATGTGATGATAAAAGTTTATCCCAGTGGAAATGTAATACCCCCGGTGAATTCATTATGAACTCCGGGAGTTCATGGTGACAAAAACTCGACACGTCCCCGTAGTTACACCCAAACACTTTCTTCACTCAGTTTTTAGTCCGTGACATGCGGTACTCCCCCTTCCAGGACTAGCTCACGATTATTTTCCGACGAAAAATTTCATTGGTAAATCAATTCAATTCTTTGATTGGTTTTAGCTTAACGAAAAACTAGTCTATATATAATGGTTCACATTTTGAAAATCGATAATTTGCTAATTCAAATGGATAACCTAGAATTATAGCGGTTAATGGTAGGGAATTTGTGTGGGGATTCCCCTCTTTGCGTGGATTTTATCTGATGGGCTATAAATAATCACTCATCAGTTCAAATAAAATTCCCTGGGACAACATTGAATTTTCTGATGACAGATTTTATCGTTCAATATGAATTTCCCAGTGTCCGTAGAGAAACTGTGTAATAATAAAAGTTCACCCTGAAAGTGTAATATCCCCCGTGATTTTTCTCCCATAAACATGCCATTTTTTTTCATTTTCCAGATAAATAATGCAGTGGATGGCAGTTACCAGGAACATCTCGGGGGATACTTTTATACCTAGGATGCGTTTCAACGTAACGATCGGGCCTCAGTCGCCAGAAAGAAGGACATACGGAATATTTCCAGTGCCTCCTGTAACATCACTACCAACACTCAACATGATTCACCAGCGGAACGTCAAGTTTTTGTTAAGCGATGACAAGACAAGTGATGTCGACGAAATAGTCGACACAATGAGAAAAATAATAATCGATGACGACAATCCTGGTGGTAATATTACCAGCGAAATCAATTATAATCCACATGAGCTCAACAATTGGTGGGCTATGATTGCTATCGTACTTGTTGTTGGCACTGCTGCTGGCAACATACTTGTCTGTCTCGCGATAACCTGGGAGAGGAGATTGCAAAATGTCACCAACTACTTTCTCATGAGTCTCGCTATCACTGATCTCATGGTGGCTATTCTGGTCATGCCACTGGGAATTGTCACACTCGTAAGAGGCAAGTCATTTCGATTTTCCTTCGGATCCTTTCAAATAGTACTCTTCATTTATTCTTTCATTCATTATTATTTATCACTGTTTAATTTATTTGAATTAAATCGATGATGTTTTAAGGAATAGATTAATGAATAATGCTGATTGTTCAATAACAAGCTCTGATTGATGGGATTGTCGATTTTTTGGGTGCACAGTCGACTGATAATTCAGCATTGATAGCTCTGGCCATGACTAGTTCCTCTGTAACATCATGTAATGATGTTATGGCAGTATTTCAAGTGAATTATCAGCATGAATCACGCGTAATGGAGAATCAATCCCAGTTGTGTTTTCGAGATACGAAACATTCCATTATGCGTTCGTTTTTATTGGCGGCTTTACATCATTCGGTTAAATTGAATAATCGTGGAGTGCATGCGACAGAAATTTTAATCAGCTCCTCAGTACTTTCGGTATTTTTATTTTCGAAATCTAATGATTAAGCGTTAGGATATTTATGATTGATTGACAGCAAATGTTGATATTCCCGGAAGAAAAATGTTTTCCGTGAAAAAATAATGTCCACAGGAGAATAAAAATTTATCGACTTCTCTTCCATGGAATATCTCTCAGCAAAATGGCCTGATAAAGTTGCATAATCTCTTCTAAAACAATCGCGAAGAATATGAAAAAATAATCAGAATATTCTAGCAAAATTCAAATAAAATTCCAATGGAAAATCAATAATAAAAATTTACGGAGAGAGGGAGAAAGGAGTTTTAGTAATTTTTCAAGCGTGTGTATTTTGGAAAAAAAAAGGCAAACCTGGTTTTGCCAATATTGATCGGAACGGTAGGACACCATAAACGGGAAGACTATTACGTGACTGAATGAGTTACGAATTGAGAAAGATTAATGAACGCGTGGGTGAACTCTGTGCATGAATAATCGGAGGGGCGGTGAAATCATGTGAAACATGATGTTGCGGTTATCCCATGCCAAATACCCAAAAATTTAACTCGCCATTAATTCAAATTTCAAATAACATCTGAGATAGAGCCGATAACATCAAGGCAAATCGTCATTGTCCTTGTCACCTGCGCCAGTAACGCTCAACCCACCCATTAAATCGCCCTCTATCAATGACTGGAATCCATGATAGAGTGAATTGCCGAGCCGATATGAATTATCCGTACGGGCAATTGCTAGGCAGCTGTTGCAATTTCCAGTTTAGCACTGGCATTTCAATGTTTGGTAGCATCTGGATGGCTAATGTTTAAATTGTGTGAGGAAAAAATGGGGAAAAAAATGAGGCCTACAGATATCCCCGGCCAATGAAATCACCAGGTGGTCCAGCCTGCTGATGACGTTGATGAAGGACGATACGAAGACATGACGAATATTCAGAACAAGCTGATGGCTTACAGAACACGATGTCCAATTGAAATTCAGAGGAGTTGCCACTGGGCTTTCGCCAATCTCCAGGAGCGTGACTAGAGCGTACATCGATTATTTCGGCAATTACATATAATTAGATGGAACCTTCCATGTTCGTCGAGTGGAATAATTGACGTAGGTTAATTTAGCGTTACACTTGAGGCTGAGATTTTTGCAATGATTTACAAAGGACGCACTGTATTCTATCGATTATCTTCTCCCTGGATTACTAATTAGGATATCTCATGACAGGTTATTTTCCCCTGCCGGCGATGTACTGTCTTGCTTGGATATGCCTGGATGTTCTCTTCTGCACGGCGAGTATAATGCACCTCTGCACCATCAGTGTCGACAGGTACCTCAGTCTGCGTTATCCTATGAAGTTTGGAAGGAATAAAACTCGAAAACGCGTCACACTCAAGATTATTTTCGTCTGGCTGCTCAGCATCGCCATGAGTCTTCCTCTCAGTCTCATGTACTCTAAGGTAAATATATTTTTTCTCACTATATTGTGCACCTAGAAATATTGTTGGAATACTTGGAATGAATCCTAGTCAGATATCGATAAATCAATATCCCGTATTTATCGCAATATATTATATTTACGCATTCTCGGAATATCGAGATTTTCCGTGTCTCTAGAAAAATCTGACTCTTATAATCAATGAAAATGAATAATTAATTTTATTATTAGTTGATAGAATATTAATACGGAGTGTGGAAGTATAAAAAAATTTGAAAAAGGGAGTAAACTTGAAGATGAAAATTCGAAATTTTGAGAAGTAATGAGCATCATTCGAGAGCATATCTAGGAAAAATGTCAGATCGATCGTTGAAAATATCTTCTAGAAATAGCATTTTCTCAAAAATAGTTTTTTTTCTAAAATTTGAAAAAGCACTTGTTTGAGACGTTTCTCCCGGGACATCTAGAGTGTTCATCGATATTCCATATACGATGCGAGACCGTAAAAAAATGTTCAATACTATATCCACTTGCACACAATGAAATCGTACAGAAAAATGAGAAGAAATTTTCTGAGTTGTACTGTTTATTAACCTCGTACATAGAAAACGGAAGTAATTGAAACCCTAGATTCTGGTGACAAGTTGATAATAAAATGCCAAAAAGCTGGAAATATGCGTAGAACGAATGGTGATATTCACTCCTCAGTGTATTCAAACGGTTCTGGTGGTTCAGCTTCCTTCTCCTCATCTGGCTTGGGTCCAAAGGCTGAGTTAAAAATAACAACCATAGATTACGAGAAAAGCCCGGAAATATGATAAACAAGAAAATATGGTCAAAGTAACGTACCAGCAACTGGTTCGACAAGTTCCTCCTCAGAGTCTGGCTTGATATGCTTCAACATGACAATTCCCCCAATCTGAATATCCTTGACTGGCGCGTACTGACTACCTTCAACAAGCTGAATAACTTTGAGCTGCTGGCGAAGAATTCTCGCTGGATTTTGAAGAATTTCAAAACTCGGCTCCGGCTCTCTCTTCTCCTTGTCATCATCCTTACTCTTTTTCTCCTTGTCTTTAATCTCTTTGTTCTCCTTATCCTCCTTCTTCTCCTTGTCGTCCCTCTCCTTTTTCCTATCATCTTTCTCCTTGACAGAGGATGAAGTTACTGGCTCTTTAATTTCACTACTTTCCTTCGTTTCAACAGTGGGTAGATCCTTAAAAAGCATTTTCAAATATAATCGTCGAAAGCACTGAGTGGACTCCTCGCGAAGAGCAAAACAAGAATAAAAAATGAACAATTGAATTCGTCAAGAGGTGTACGAGAGAAAAATGATATCTAATACGACTTCAGTATCACTCTCGGACCCATGTGGATATTTCGTTGATTCATTTTTCACCCATTTCTCTCGAGCCAAAACGCCATGATAAATTCCATCAACTTACCACTTCCATTAATTCATGTGAGTGACGTGCACGTCTCTCCGATTCACGTCTTCTTGCTTTAGCAGCGATACTCAATACAGCTGTTGTAACTTTTTCACGCTCCTCTCGTTTCTTCTCCTCGAGAGGTGCTGGATATGCATAAACGCTTGGACGTGCATTAGAGCGAATCTCGAGTTTTGGCATTTTCAGTTGGGCATTCAGCCCTATCAAACATGTTGGGGTAAATGCTAGAGCAAGACAGTGAGCTAGTGGAAACCAGTACCAATACTGGGTAAATACAAGGGCTCCAACAACAGCCAACATATTAGTGTGGCCAGTTCGAGACTGTAGGGAGACTGTCACGTTACGTCCACCTGTTGAAAAACATTGTATAATCATTGTTTGAAACAAGTCATCTATTCCTTCAGCAGGGAATTATTATTCCCGTTAACCTCTCGCTTATTGGTATCACCATTGAATATCACTGAAACTAATATTCATCGTAACGTTACCACCTCAAATACGATGTCAAACTATTACGCGTTAAAATTTTACGAACTAAAATATCACCCGTGAAAATACTACCAACCTCAATATTGTCATAGCGCTATCAATACAAATCTAAAAATGCTTTACTACTTTTTTTCCTTTCATCTCCCTTGATTTTTTCTTTTGCCTCTCACATACTAATCAATTAATAATTATAATTATAACTGATAAATGTTAATAATAATGAGTAATGAATTAATTTCCTGTGGCATTTCAAGGTGTAATATTTGGATATGAATTATCTACTGATAACTTATGAACTCTTACATTTGCCTTTTTATTCAGTCCACCATCTCGTCCTGACACACTTTCACACGCACTTTACAATTGAAATGACGGTGCAAGCTTGCGTGACGGAAGTAACGCTCGCGAGCAGAGGTATCTTATTACGCAGTGTTGTACCAATAATGCATCCAAAGATGACACTTGATAGTGACACTGTTCTCGTATTTTGGAGTCTCGTTGACGATACACGAGATGGTAACAATGAAGATAAAGTATTAGTGATGAACTCACCAGCATCGATGATACCCTGAGCGAGAATAGCGCCAAACTTGGCCATGACGTCCTCATGTTTATCAACCACCACTTTAGCATAGAGTGCCCTGAACTCCTTGATTCTGGGACAAGTGGCCTCGGTCTGCTGTATTAAAATCATCGCTGAGGCAATGAGTGCACCCTGGCGTACAAAATTCACTGGATCATTGGCCATCGGGTCCAGCAGTGCAATAGCTTCCTTCAAACCCGTTCCCGCACAAGCTATACCGAGTGCCATTGCAGCCCCATATCTCACATGTGGATTGTAACTCTCAGCTAACAGAGACACAACACTTGGACACTGCTCCGGTGTTCTGAAATTCAAATCAAATCACACAATCAACAGACCAAACTCCAAAATCCAAATCCAAAAAATCGTTAAAAATAAATGTCAAATTCTAGTAATTGAAATGTTCATTTGAATATTCGTGTCAAGGAGGTTTCTTTGACGAATATAAATTATTCTCCCACTGTATTGATCCACCCTGATGTAAATGTGTGGGTGTTACCAGAGGTTGAGGAAAAAAAGAGGCCTTATTTATGCTCCAGGATGACGCTTCAGTGCTGGTCGATGGCGATTGTCAAATACCTGATCCACTCTACAAGCTAATTGGTAGCATCATATGCTTCTACATTCCCCTTGGTGTTATGCTTCTGACATATGCCCTGACAGTTCGCCTCTTGGCAGAGCAGCATCAGAGTCTGAGTGGTGCACGACCAAAAGGTGAGTTTTCCTCGTAATCATGAAATCCCCTTGATTGTTAGAGTCTAGAGTCTTATGATAAAATGGGAAAAAACTCATGAGACCATTTGCCAAGATGCAGGTTTTAACCGACAAAGTACATGGCGACGGCTGCTGGGCAATCGTGAAAATGGCACAAGTTGTGAAATACCACAGCATACATCTGCAGCTTCAACCGACACTGAGCCAACCACTTTAGACACTCACGATCTTTGGTTACCAGAGAGTGAACCACCACCATCAGCAATGGCAGCCTTACGTGCATTTGGAGCGGAAATGCTGAAACTATCGAGGGGATTGGAAGGTGGTGCACCATTTGGACTAGGCCAGCAATCGATTTCCACATCGAGATCAATTTCCCAACACCAGGAGTATGAGCTATCAACTCAACTGCGTTCGAGCTTTCGAGTTGGGTGAGATATATATATATATATATATACATATCTATATATAATTCACCAATTTCATTCAACTTTTTTTTGTTTACTTTGGAAACGGTGGAATCTCTCGAGTTTACTTAACCAGATTAGATGGGCGATTCATTTTCATTAGCATTACCATATCTCAGGGAACTATTCGCACTTGCGTTGTCAGGGATGGTATAAAGAATTCCAGAGGGAGTGATTTTTCCTACTCTCACATAAAAGGGAGGCGGTTAAAAAAGTAAAATTAATTGTCCCATTAACAGGTATTAAACACCATCAAGTTACTGTGGTATTTACCATTCCACCAACACTTGTCAAGTTCTTTCTTACTCGTGTATTACTCACACCCCAGCGACTACACTAGGATTATATGGATTGTTATAAAGCGTTGGATGAGTATTTTCGTGACACAGTGCATACCGCGATATGAAACACCGAGTGAAGACAAGTGCGAGGATTGGATTTGTTAAAGTTGAGCATTCAGTATGCATCTGGATTTCGAGGTGATCCTAGAAAGATGTCACCTTTAAAAAATACTGTATCTTCACAGGTTATTGCCACTGTATTCCCTGCGGAGAGATTCAAGTCTCACATGAGTGCATTTTATTTCAGTGAAAATATCCCAAGAGAAGCCGTGAAATATTTTTAATTAAAACGCAGCGCTGAAATCTCCGTCACGCTGGAGATCAATTAGTTCCACCGATGACAATGAAAGAATAAAACCTCGGAGTGAATTCCATAATACGGTTATTTGATCATGAAAAGGAGTTGTAGTAATAGGAGTGCTGGGGTCTGGCTGATAAAATTTCTAATCGGGTAATGCTAGAGATTGGGGACTTGCCTCTTCCCTTTTTTTCCTCTTTTCCCTCCGAATGGTCGAATTGGTTGGGAGGGCCAATAAGAGCCAACTCCCAATTACACTCTGTACTTTTTTGATATTTATTTTCACCATCTACTTGGAAAAGTCCTTGATTACTTGCAGTAGTATCCGAGACTCGATTGATCTGTTCTCGAGTCATCAATCTGGAAGGATTAATCGATTACTTTGTGGGAGCACCATCTCATCAGTTATTTGAATAATATTTCAGGAGCAGCGGAAGTGGAGCCAGCAGTGAGGTGGGATCAAAGGTTAGTTTAGCAACATCCCAGGATGAGAGCAACCAACCAACAGCCTGGAGACCTCGTAAACGTGCATACACATGTAACGAGGCATATCTTCAAAGAATAGCATTAGATTCACCCAAGGAGCAGCGAAAACGAACATTAAGTTTTGACTCGAGTGAGTTAATAAGAGCACCACTAACATCTTCAAAGAATATCACAAAGACCGAGAGTTTTCGAGACAGAAGAGACATCGCACTCCCAACAAGATGCACATGTCCGTATTTCGGTGAATCCTCTAAGAGGCCGATTAGCCAAACCCCCAAGGAAGTTGTCATTATTTCAAGTGATAATTTTAAATCAATCAACAAGAGCACAGAGATCAATCGAAATCCTAGGAATGAATCACGCAACTGCGAAGCTGCGCATTCAGTGGTGACGTGGAGAACCGGTAGGAGGGGCTCGATGATCGGTAAGTGGATAATGTTTTGTCATGACTACTTGATTTGTTGTTTTAATTCCATTACAGGAAGTACAAGAGCAGTCCGAACACCCTCACGACCTGGTGAACTCCGTAGAGCAGCAACACTCAGGGCCCAAACAACAGCATCAACGATATTATCAAAGAGGGATGCCTCATCTCCATGTTTACTCAGATACACAAGCAGCGTACGAGCCCATCATTCACGAACAAGTAGTGTTATATCCCGAAATAGTTCACGACACGGTAGGATAATACGACTCGAGCAGAAAGCAACTAAAGTACTCGGTGTTATATTCTTCACATTTGTCGTACTATGGTCACCATTTTTTGTTCTAAATCTCATACCAGCTGTCTGTCCAGACTGTGAAAAACACATCGACAAGAAGATATTTGATGTTGTAACGTGGCTGGGTTACGCAAGCTCCATGATAAATCCCATTTTTTACACCATTTTTAACAAAGTATTTAGACAGGCCTTCAAGAAGGTACTACTCTGTCGTTACAGGGAGTCATCATGACGACCACCTAGGTAGGTGGGGTGTGGGCGACCTGTTGTTGTCGTCACTGAGGTGTGAATTACTTGTAACACCTGATTTAATCAGGAATTCGTTTGGTTGAGGTGAAAATCATAACGCAATCAAGGGAGTAAACTCCAATAGGCAGTGAATCAAAATCAAGAGGAGCTTTATCAACAGCTGGGGTGGGAGGGAGGAGGAGAAGGAGAAGGGGGAGGGGAGGAACGGATATCCGGTTGAACTCCGAGCGAAGAAACAATCTCTGTACATTTAGCAAAACAACCTATTTTTAGAAAAAAAAACATAATACACTAGATTATTCTGTTACTGAAATGATTTAACTCGTTGAAAAAGGGCTAGCCTTGTAGATAATACGAAATCATCAATTACTAGGGCTCATGTATGTCGTGACTAATGCTGAGAATTTTTAAATAGTATTGGTTATATTTTCAAGACTGGTGTTTGATATATGAGGTACTAACCGATTGCTGACGAATCAATTAGACGTAGATGATAGATTATCCACGAATTAGGAGTTTGTCATGTGATAAAACAGCAAGAGTCATTGCTGTGGGATATCATAAATAGGGTATGTGGAAAATACAAGACGATCATTGAGATAATCGACATTAAAATGTAGTAATTAAATCGATCTGTCATTACCTAGATGGTTAATTGCAATTCTAACGAGTGTCTGTGGCTATTACATGGAAAACAAATGGATGAAATAAAAACGCAATTCAAGTTTTATCTAGTGATTACTCGGACCCTTTGACACCTGGAGATAGGGGGACGTTTGAGGAACGATTGGGGGACGATTGGGGGACGATTGGGGGACGATTGAGGGATGATCGACATTCCAACCCTGAATAGGCCTATTCGAAGTGATTGGGGTGTGAGGAATGCTAACACCTGAATTCCCCGGTCCAGAGCCCCTCGTCTATACCCAACTCAAGTGTTGACGGAAGCCTAACAAGCACAACATGCGCCATTATATTTTTCGTTTCGTAAAAAAAAAATCATCCTGGAGGGCTCAATATTGAAGCCTTCCCACATCTCCAGGAGTTTCACCCCCAACCTCACTCGACGCCTCCCAATATACTGCTTGACCCCGTTAGAGAGTCTTCCGTGAGATATGGAGTGGACTTTTCCCTTCTCCATTGGAAAAAGTACCAAGAGTGTAATTTCCACTTTAACCAGTTTTTCACAAGGAGTTACGATGTTAAAGTACCAGACACATTTAGACTCATGAATATTGTCTTTGATCAGTCAATATCGCGTGATCGGCGGTCATTTCGGTGGTATTGATTCTGAATTTATTGATTTTTATAGCGCAATTTGCGCGACATTCAGCGAAAATTCAGGTGTGAATTTAAATATGAGAGAATTGAGGAAAAATTCATGGAGACGGTGGCACAGCATGGGAGAATTTAAAGTACCTCTATCCAGGTTGGCTCAACTACTCCAGAATTTTTTGAGCTTTTGAATTTTTTAGGGGGATTCGGAGAGGAAAATTTGAAAAACTTACATCTCCTTCGGATCGACGAATAATGCAACTCATTAAACTCACGATTCCACTCATTCACATTCGATACTATTTTAATTTGAATGAATTAAATCTATTAAAACAAAATTCCTTATCAAATTTACACGAATTTTGGTAAAAAAAAATAATCACTATTTACGTAGAATAATAAAATAAATTAAATATTTGACAGAATGTAATTAACTACCGCTTTTTCTATTCATCCTGACCTCGAGATGATTATTAGCTTAACATTAGAACATTAGAACAACAATAGAAATTGTTTAAAAACCACTGGCCGATTTTTAATGAGAAACAGGAAAATTTCTTAATGTCTCCACATCAAGCGACGAAAATCGGTATTTTCATATGCAATTAATGACGATTGTTTCATTTCCCCGCATAGCAATCAATAAAATCGAAATTAGTGGTGAACTGACCCTAATTATCCGAAGTACAGACGGCTCGCGTATTTCTCCCTAAGTTGAGTAATTTTTCACAATTTGCCGTGGACGCGTCATTTGAAATTGAAATATTGCAGTCTAGGATTTGAATAAAAAGAACTCTCCCATGCGAAATCGAGATGATCGATTTTGTTGAGAATTCTGAGTGCACATCTGGAAAAGTCAAGTTGAAGTTTCAATTGGCATCTATAGATGGTGAGGTCAATCAAGAGGGTGTTCGCTAATAGGTCCATTTCTGAGCTATCTCGGGGTTAGTCGGGCTTCAATAGAGGGGCACTTATATATCGATGGTAATCTCCAAGTACTTGGCGTCTATTACATCGAGAATCATGGTGAGTGCTTCACTCCCATTAACATCAAGAGGGGTTGGCATTGGACAGCTATGATAACGCCAATTTCCAGAGCCGGTGGTGGGCACTATTTGGAATTTGAGTATCATTTGGATGGATGAGTATGGCAGGTCAACATGTGGTAATGATGTGTATCTTGGGGGAAATTATTCCCCCATCCGACACGCGCACTCATTTTTTTTTCGACTGAATGTCCCTGTCAGTCTCCGGGGAGTGACATTTACTCCATTTTCGATGGGAATCGTTATCGTCATTATTAATTTACTAGCGAAATTATGGGCCAGCGAAATGATGGGTCAGCACAGGCTTTTTCAAGAATGCTTTGAGACAATATCTCGCAATTGAAGGAACATAGCGAATTTTTAGCGTTGACATTTTTTGGAGAAAATGGTGAGACCCATAGAAAAGGTCTCTAGGAAAATATCACTATCTGCCTTCAAGGTCGAGAGATCTCGAAATCGAAAAGTTTCGAAAAAAATGTACTTATCGTAGTTTACCACTTCGTAATAGAATTGTCAGTTTGAATTCAGAATGATTTTTAAATTCATTTTTCGAAAAAAAAAACGTTGGCCAATATTTATGGATTCAATAGGAACTAAAATTCTATTTTAAACTGAAGATTTTTTGGTATTTCATATAATTTTTCTTTAGATTTTCCAGCAATTCTTGTTATTCTCAAGGAGTACTCTATTTTTAATGGAAGTAACTCGAGTGAATAATTGAGCCACTTAGCTATAATTAAGTTTTTTCATTGAAGAAACGTTTGGAAACCCGATGGTTTAGCCCGGAAAAGTAAACGATCAAGTGATTGTTTAAACAAGAAGTTGCAAATTCATACAAATTTTCAGCTACACTGAGAAAAATTTATCTTTAACCAACAATATTTACTAACCACCAATACATCTGACAATCACTATGTAAATACTTCCATACGACTTGCTAATGCCAAATATATTTTTGTCTGGTTAGTAAATATTATTGGCTAGAGAAAATTTTTTTTTCAGTGTAATGAAAAATTTCCAATTTCTATCAATTGAAATATTAGAAAATAAAAATTGAATGAATGAATTTTTAATAAGAAAATCCTTTGAGTTATCGGAGAAATTATAGGTCATGACAATTAACGGGAGTTACATTAGGGCTAAAATAAAAAAATGGCTTATCAGTGCCGACGCATGCGGTCTGTTCAACAAAAATATTTCTCATTTTTCTTCACGCTTTTAAAAAGCGCTCGTCTGTGCACTTACTTTTGGATAAAGTTTGTCGTACAGACTATATATTTGAAGTTGGCCAGTATCAGAACCACAAATGCTCGCGGGAGTTTGACCTGTTTCCCTTCCAAGCCACACACGAGTTTCCGTGATATCTCCTACCGAAAAACTCCATTTTCCTCTGTACGCCAGTTCAAATGGTCACGGGTTATGTAATTCCGCGTTTGCGGAAAGCACACATTTCCTCAGTGGGAAATTAGGTACCCGTACTTGTCATTCACGCGGGGAAATTGAACTTTCCGCGATGACACGGGGCAAACATTTGCAAAATTTATAATTACACGCCGAGAAAATTATCTGATGAAATTTGCCCTGAGATTCGCAAAATATTTTAATATGAGGAAAAATAATGATTTTCCGTACAATTTTCAGGGTCAACACCCGACAATATTTTCATCTAATTGTTTCAAATGAATCATTCATTGGGATTCAAAAAAGCAATTATGATATCGACAAATAATTTATACATAACATTTATTCAGTCACAGGTCAGTGGAAATCAATTAATTTTCATGTTTAATTTCCTGTGAGAACGTCAATAACAATTCGGAATAACGAATTAAATTATTCCAACAAAGGGATTGTAATTATTATTTTATCATTATTCGTCGTAATTTGTGGTTGACATTGAATTGATTAACGAAATTATGAAGACGGCGATTAGCCGTTTCCTGATGATAAAAAAAATATTACGCATTATTTAATTAAATTGATGCATTTGCCTGAAACGAATGAGTGAAGCAGAATAAAAATCACTAGTTGGTGAATTAGGATGTAACCGCTAGGGAAAAGTGAAGAATTTACAAGAGCAATTAGTGATATAACGTGGAGATAAGGGAAGGAGCCGACGACGAGACAATCGATGAGCGGAATATCCGTTTTCCTGAAACATCTGAGATGAGAAATGTCTGGAGCTCGGATAATCCTCAAACAAAGACGCCGTCGACTCCTATTTATCCATCAAAGAGGAAACATTTGAGCATTTTGCATCTTTCTGACATCACAAGAAATACTCGGATGGGATTTGAAGTGGTGGAAGGAGAAAAGTAGGATCAATCTCCGTTGGTTTAGGCACCGTCAGCCCTCGACGTGGCAATTCATAACAATGCGAATAAGAATACTTCAACGAGTCAAACGCAGAGAGAAAAAACAATACAAATTCCAATTTTCCCATTTCACTATCTCAAATTTATCACTCGAAAAGAAAACAACTGGCGATAAATCATTCAAATCCATCAACATGACACCCAGAAAATTGTTTATTGTTTCGAGGCAATCGAAGTATTTATTTATTTTTTTTATTCATTTCAAAATCATTTTTGACATAAAATTCTATCATTTGAATTCTTTTGTCATCTTTCGTTTAAATTTTATCTTTTCAGCTTAAAATACATTAAAATTTGGGATGAAATTTGTGTTGTGAGCTACTCGAATGATTATAAAAAAATAATGAAAAAAAAAGAGGAAAAATTATTGAAGGGCGCTAAAGAACGATATTGTTCAAAAGGGATATACCACGTTTACAAAAAAATAATAAAAATTACGCAGCTTACCATTGCTCTCCACAAGATTAAGTGACAGCTAGATGCAATAGTAAGCTACGTATTTTTTTATTATTTTTCAGCAAACTTGGGAGATCCCTTTTAAATAATATCGATCTTTAGCACCCTTCAATAATTTTTCCGCTTTTTTTTTCATTATTTTTTCATGTCCATTCAAGTGCTTCCCACAACACAAAATTGATCCTAAATTTTAATGTATATGTATATGTAGATTAAAAAGATAAAATTTAAACAAAAGTCGACGTTCAATAGATAGTCCACCCGGGCCTTAATTAAAACTTTTAATAGTTCGAATTGTAGATTTTTAATAAAAAAATCAATTAAAATAGGAGAAATATTGACATAAATAAATAATTTATTTCCATTGAATAAATTGACTCGATCTCTCAAATTCAAAATCAATGGAAAATAAAAAATAGTCATTAATGATTAGCGTGCATATTCAGAGAAAACAGGCAATAAGACAATTAAATTTCTAATTCCTAGAAGACTAGACTAGATTAGACGATTGATGAATGCAAAATGTTTTTTATCCTCAGTAAATTTAATTTACTGAGTTGGCAGTAAAACATGCACTAATTGCGATTTGCTAATTGGATGTGGTCACGGGTTATCAGTATCCTCACTCCTCATTAGCATTTTTAACATATCATCAGATTTTTCGCAATTTCTGCACAAGATTTTAAAAAAGCCACTGCCCTAGGTGAAAAATGGAAGATTAAAGGCAAGCAACGACGAACGGAGGTAATGGAATATGCGATATTTTCAACGGGGGAAAATGAGCAAAAGCACAGCCGTTTCAGAAATCAATTAACAGCATTATTAAGGAGCAATTTGCGTCATTATTAGAAATTTCTTGGTGAGGCGTGGTTGTGAATAACTGGAGCCCGTAGGAGTTTATCCTCAAAATCAGACGGTAACAAGGTTGCTAGGCAACATCCGCTGGTGAGACGGTGCATCAACGACAACATCGACAGGGAATTGTTGCCTTAGCAACCTCTTACCGTACGGTTTTACTGGATTAACTCTCTGGGCTTATTAATTTTTGAATAAAAGTTGGAACTTATGGGCTTATTAAAAATTCTATGCTCCCTCTTTTCCTTTTGAAATGCCTTTTAACTCTCCTATTATCAAATTCCTCAAGTTCAAGTCGCGGGGAGAACGCCGGCAGCAATTACCGGGGCTATTACCACAGTGCTTTTTTTCAATCTGCCAGGAAAAAGTTTTTGGCTCTAGTCGCTACACAATGGTTTTTTTTTCCACGAGCCAAAATATT